CCTGGTCCCCAGCGAGGAGGAGGGGGAGCGGCTGCACAAGAAATGCCTCCGCAAGCGTGGCCAGGGGGGCAAGCCGACAGAGGACTGTGGTGCCCCCTCGCCACAGGGCAAGCGGAGCAAGCGCAGCCCCGTCCCGCAGTCCTTCGAGGACGTGCACACGCAGCGTGTGATCGCCAACGTGCGGGAACGCCAGCGGACCCAGTCGCTCAACGACGCCTTCGCGGAGCTGCGGAAGATCATCCCGACGCTGCCCTCGGACAAGCTGAGCAAGATCCAAACCCTCAAACTGGCCGCCCGCTACATAGACTTCTTGTACCAGGTCCTGCAGAGCGATGAGCTGGACCACAAGATCACCAGCTGCAACTACCTGGCCCACGAGAGGCTCAGCTACGCCTTCTCCGTCTGGAGGATGGAAGGGGCTTGGTCCATGTCCGCGTCCCACTGAGCCGGGGTACGTATCGCCACCTCCCCGCCGACACCTCCGCACATCCCTCGCTCCTGCATCCTCCACGCATCTCCCCAGCCCGGTCCTGTGGGGGGAACGCACAGCAGCTGCCCCCTCCTCACGCTCCACGTGCAAGCGATTTGCTTTTACGAACCCCAGACGCCACCAAGGCCGGCAGGCGGAGGAGGTGGCGATTCCCAACCTCGCCGGGGCCGGGAGGACGTTGCAGGGGGCCGAGCAGCGGAGCCCCAAAGCGACTGATCTCATTTAGCGGGGTCTGGTCTGGGGCAGGCTAGTGAAAGGTTTAAAACGGGGGCTTAAAAATCTGATTTATCCTCCCGCCGTAACCCGGGAGGGTGCGTAAATCAGCAGACACCCTCCTGAATGTGCTTGGGTTACCGAGGTGTCAAAACCGCACGAGCGAGACGGGCGGCAGCCCCGCCGCCATCGGCCGACGGCTGCTGTTGCTCCCACCGCGCAAAGCGCCCAGCCTTGTCCTCGCCAGCTGGGGCGAACCTCGGCAGCCCTTTCCCAAAGCCCCTGGGTGGCCCTGGAGCCCCCAGACTGTCTCCTGTCCCTCTCCCGAAGCGCTGCAGATAAGACGGGATCCATAATCCCTTCAGATCTGTGGGCATCCTGTACTGCAGGGCATAAAATACCAAGCGAGGCTGCCGGGGCAGCGAGGTTTGCCCACTTGTCCCCCTTTTTTGATGTACCCAGCACCATCCAGCCGCCACCTCAGCATCCTTTCCCTCACTGGCAAAGCTGCTGAGAGCAGAGGGGAATAATCTGATTTTCAGTGCTTTAGGTGTCCTTGGGCTGGGGGCAAGGGGGAGCCAGGGGAGACGCGTCAGCTCCATGCTAATGTTTCCTGCAGCCCATGAGGAGGAGCAGAAAGCTCTGTAGGACATTCTCAAGCTGTGGACTTCGGGGACACTACATGGGAGCCCAGCCCAGCTCCTGAGAGTCCCAGCCGTCACCTAAACAGGATCAGGGCTTGTGGCTTTCCTCGGGCACTGCCTTGTGTTGGCCCTGGCACACGGGGGGAGTGACCACCGGGGCCTCTGGGGACGCCAACAGCAAAGGGGCTCTTACTTTTCCCACAAGCACCACTCAGGGCTGCAACGTAGAAAATGCTTTTATTCCTATTTTCTGCCTCGCGTGCCAGTTCTCCTCCTGGCCGGTCTTACTGGGGTCCCCCTTCAGTGCGGGAACGCGGGTGACCGTGCCCACCCTGGGTCCCTGTGGGCAGAAGTGGCGTATTTATAACACGAGATGGCCCAGAGCCTGTGATGGGAAGTGCTGAGCGGGTGCAAGACTCAAACAAAAGCCATGCAGGGTCCCGGCTGGAGCAGGGAGCTGGCGCGATGCTGCAGCTCCACACGAGAGCATTGGTCCACACCTCGTCACAGGCACGGCCTGGTGAGGACGATGGGGTCCCGGCACCTTCACCTTTAGGGTACGTCTCGGGGAAGCCATAGTGCAAAAAAAACCCAACCCTGCCCTGCACCCTGGTCTCACATTTTGAAAGGCCAGAGGGAGTGGGAAAGGGAGGAAAACGGCCTTGCTGACATGGAATAAATCACAGCAAATTCCTGCAAAGTGGCCCAAGTGATGCCCCGGTGGTGGGGGACCCTCTACCATGACTGGTGTCCCCCCATGAGCACCGCTGACCCTCCTGCCTTTGGGTTTTGCCACTGAACAGCCCTGAATTTCAGGCCAGTCTGCAGATATAGGGGCAGCTGCCACCTAAAGATGTTGACCAGCTCCCATGGGGATTTCATTTAAGGGTGTGCCACATTTAAACACTTGTTTCGCTGCAAACCTGGCTGAGATCTCTTCTAACCACCAGAAAAACTGTCAGTTTTCTAAATCTGAGTATAGATTTTAATTATTTGGGGCAGACCTGGTTGTTTAAAAACTGATGGGAAAGCCTGTCCTTGCTGGAAGCGGGATTGCTGCCCCTCAGCTCTGGCTGGGTCACCCTCCTGGACAGCCAAGTGTGGGGTGACTTCTCACTTTGAGAAGCCAAAAAGCTGCCAGGGACAGTTGGGATGCTGAGCACCCCCTGAGCAGAGCAAGCCTGCATCCCTCCCAGAACCCTCCCTCACCCTCTTCTGGGCATCACATCTTTGCAGCCCGGTGAATTTTGCAGTTTCCAGATGGGTTATCCTGTTGTGGGACGCGGGGAGCTCCGTGCACGGCTCTGCCCTGCTCCGGGATTCACAAGGGAGATGGAAACAGCCCGGCGGGAGTGTGGGTTTCTTCGATGGATGGTTTTTAAAAGCTTCAGCTCTGCGCTGACGAGCTGTGCACTTCTTTACAGCCCAGGTAAAGGGGAGGTGTGGGGTTTTGAGTCCCCTCCCCATCGCCCCCAGACTCGGGGCCGTGGCTCCCAGCGCACGCGTGTCTGCTCCTGGTTACGTGTGTGGGCTGAGGTGCAGCTCTGCGGCCGGTCATTGACTTGGAGACCTGTTTATTTAAGCTGAGTGTTTGGCAGGAACTGTGTTCCCATGATAAACAGAGGAATTAAAGACCCTGAGTGATCTTAAAGACCTCTCTGCCAAATGAAAAAGCCCCCGTGTAAAATCCCTCATGTCCTGTGAGCGCAGTACTCTCAGCGTGCTTATCACCGCTGGTTAATATTCATCCCAAGCGGCTCCGGTTCTTGCCTCGAGGCCAAGCATCCTTCAGCCGAATAGATAATAATCTGCTTTGTGCCAACCTGCAGCGGTATTCGGGTACCAATTAGCAACTCCCAGTTGGGTAGGGAAGTAATGGGAGGAGGATTTGCTAAGCAAAGACCAAAAAGGGGGAAGAGCCTCGGGGGAAGCGATGCTGGAGTTGGCGAGGCTGCGGCTCTCTCCCGTAAGTGAATTAACCCAGCGCTTGCAATGGGACCGTAATTTTATAATGTAAAGCAGCCAAGGGCTGCTGTGAGCGCCGGCATACTGGTCTCCACTAGAACTCAGCCTATTAAATATCAAAGGGCGCTGGAATAGCTGGATGTGGATATGCCCTTGTTAACCAGGAGACATCATCCGGGGAAAGAGGGATTGAGCCCTCAGGCAAGAAAAATAATGTTTGAAGTCCCCCAAGCTCACGGTTTTTCAGCAGAGTCTTGAGCACATTAAAACGGTTTCTTTTCCTGCTGGAGGAGAAAATGAGGCTGGAAGCTGAAACTGCTGGGGGGGAAAGACTGGCGAAGTCGTAAGGGGTGATATTCCTTGCCCTTCATTTGTCTCCCTGGATTTATTGTCTTTCTCGCGTTGCCCTCACTTAATTGTCTATCCTGAAAGACCTTGGATAAATCTTCCCTTTGGGGACCGTTGCTCTTGCTTGGAGTCTGCTTTGTCGGGTGGATGTTTCATTTTCTTTTATTTATAAATACGTCTCATTGCACAGTATTAAAGCACTGGGGTATTAAAGGAGCTTGGGGAGAGCTCCTTTCCCTATTCAGATCTGCTCAGAAAATGCATTTAAAGCAGCATCTGCTTCAAAAAGCGGAGATCCCTCTGCAGCCTGGCGAAAGAGCGCAGCCCCATCTGGCTGAGCCGCCCTGGCTCCGTCCTTTAACAGCAGCGAGAAGAGGGTCCGTTCGCTCACTGCTGGTTAAACTGGCCGAGGTGGCCCAGGACGCCCGGGCTGGGTAAGAGCAAGCTCCAGTGCTGGGCTCCTCCTCGGCCAGGTCCAGCGGGTGACGAACCACCTCGCTTTCACTTTTGGTTTGAGCTCCCAGAAGAAACGAGGAGTTGCCCAAATGCTCTGAAATCTCTGCCTGGGCAACTTTTCTTTTTTCCCGTGTGGAGTACCAGCCGTGCTCCGTGCTCCCATCCATGCGCTCTGCCAAGATGCTTCTCGGATTTGCTCCTTGCTCCTGCGTAGAGCAGGTTTAGAGGCCAGAACTTTCCTCCAAAGGCTTCTCCCACAAGCGCAGAGCATTTCTCACGGTGTCTGCGGGATGGACAGGTAGAAGGAGAGATGTCTGGTGCCTTGAAGGCTCCAGCTTTGGTGTCCTGGGGCAGGAGGAGCTGCCCTAGATGAGGGATGTGGGACATCTCCCCAGAATCCCAGGGCTGATCTCACACACCAGCTCCGGGTAAGGATGCAGGACCAGACAGGGCTGGGGATGCTCAGTCCATCTACCCCTCGCCCACACTGTGCCAGGGCTGTCTGGGGACACTCCTGCTGTGCAGGAGCAAGGGGTGGCATCACCTTGATGTCCCACAGCTGCTCTGCCTCTGTCCCCGGCACCCAGCCCGGACCAGGGAGAGCCCCAGGCGTTCCAGCCATCCATCTCCAGGTCCCTTGGCATGCCAGTGCCCGGCACAAGGACATGACAAAGGGTGACCTGGGGCTGTGGTTAAATTTCACTGTCAGAAAAACCTTTTTCCAGTAAAAACTTCCACCTTTCTATTGAAGACGGAAGAACTCAACACCGAACGTGCCCCGGGGGGACCAGGCTCCTCTCCACCACAGGTTCTCAGCACTACTCAGGATTAGTTAAAATTAAAACAGAGATAAAATTACAGAGCCAGCCCTCACGAGCATTAAAATGTCTGCCGGTTTACGATCCCCGCGAGGAGACGGGCTCTCTAGATCTCAGCTGCGTTCGCTTAGCCCAGAGGAATGCCTTTGAAACGAGCCCGTATTTCATCGCTGAATGTCACGGGAATGCACCTGGGATGTGAGGGGGAACGAAGGAGATGCGTTAACGAGACGGGCTTTGCATTTAATTTCCTTTTATAGGGCTGTACCTGAGCAGAGACGAGGGTGTTTATGCAGCGGAGGGAGGGAAGGGCAGGCATCAGCCGGGGCGTTGAGGACGGGCTCACAGAGCACTGCGTCGCCCCGGCTCCGTGGTCTGGTCCACACCATCCCCGTGAGCATTCGTCCCCAGGCCCTGCATGCTCGGAGCGGGGCTGGTCTCCTCTGGAGTCACCTCCAGCCCTTCCGTGACCTTCAAAATCACACCGTGAGTGCGTTCGTCGGTGTTAGAA